CATATGCACACATAACTTTTTACATAACTGGGCTCTTAAGCAGAATATAAACAAATCCTTTGTATGTTTATGTATATACCAACATTTTACTACTCGGCAATTGCTAATCATTTAGAACGTTTCAAAAAAGTTTTTAATGTGTATATTCTGTGAACATCTCTACTTACGCAGTTTTGATTATTTCATTAGAGTAGATTCTTAGGAGGATGACTTAGTAAAAAAAAATACACAGTTCCTAAGGGTCGTGGTAAATATTTCCAAATTACTTCTCAGAAAAATTGTACCAATTTGCTAGTGTGTAGAAGTGATCAACTTACTGAACCCTAATATTGAACATTACTGAGATCATTAACATTGGATTTTTTTTATTAATCATATATCTTTATAAGAAGTATGCCATGTAAATTCAGGTAATGGTGATAAAGGAGAAAGGATGGTACTAATTGGATTCTGTTTTTTATAATAATATTCTAAATTCATTCTAATATTGTAAATTCTAACTCAATAGTCTAAAAGTAATGTGGCAAATAGGTAAGATTTTTCATTTATATATTTGCATTTTTAGGCAATTCTGTCTTGAGCTAAATGGACTTGCTGTCAAACTTCAGGTAATTCTTTTAAGTTAAAGCTATAATTGAAAGCTCGTATTTTATTTTTTCTTTCTGTTTTTGTAACTTAATGTGCTTAAAAAGACTTACTGAAAATTTCTAATTATTCTAGAATTTTACTTTGAACTGTAGTGACAACCTTTTTCATTATTATTTTACATATTAAGGAATCTAACTATTTTTAACAGAGTGAATGCCATCCAGATACATGTACTCAGATGACAGCAACTGAACAATGGATTTTCCTTTGTGCAGCTCATAAAACTCCAAAAGAGGTGAGAATTTATGACATAGAATGATTAATAAAATCATTACACTCTAAATCTCCAAGATAGCAGATAAATTTTTAGAGCTTTTAGTTCACTGTTTATTTTGCCATTTGATTTAGTGGTCTTTTCTATAAGGATATTGCCATAGTGCTGTTTTAGGATTTCTTTTGATTAGTATCATTTTTCATAATTGGGCAATCAGATGGGCTAGAACTCACTTTATGATTCACTGGCTATCACAGAAAAACAATTGGCACATTGTGCTGATCTCTAATGAATATGGATGAGATATACCTGTTGAGATTTTTGGTTCAGTCATTTCTTTTGATAAGAATACTGTTTTTGATTACTAGTTGATTAACTAGCAATCTATGTAATAACTAGCTTAGACTGTTAAGTAGAAATGTTACTTTTGAGTTTTTTAACTTTATGGGTTAATATTTTATCTTTATATTTCATTAATACTTCTTTTTTCTTTTTTTAATTTTGGTATCATTAATCTACAATTACATGAAGAACATTATGTTTACTAGGCTCTCCCCTACCCCAAGTCCCCCCCGCAAACCCCATTATAGTCACTGTCCATCAGCATAGTAAGATGTTGTAGAATCACTACTTGTCTTCTCTGTGTTGCACAGCCCTCCCCTTTCTCCCACCTCCCACATTATACATGCTAATCATAATATCCCCCTTCTTCTTCCCCACCCTTATGCCTCCCTACCTTCCCATTCTCCCCAGTCTCCTTCCCTTTGGTAACTGTTAGTCCATTCTTGGGTTCTGTGATTCTGCTGCTGTTTGTTCCTTCAGTTTTTCCTTTGTTCTTATACTCCACAGATGAGTGAAATTATTTGGTATTTGTCTTTCTCCGCTTGGCTTATTTCACTGAGCAAAATACCCTCTAGCTCCATCCATGTTGTTGCAAATTGTAGGATTTGTTTTCTTCTTATGGCTGAATAATATTCCATTGTGTATATGTACCAAATCTTCTTTATCCATTCATCTACTGATGGACACTTAGGTTGCTTCCATTTCTTGGCTATTGTAAATAGTGCAGCGATAAACATAGGGGTGCATCTGTCTTTTTCACACTGGAGTGCTGCATTCTTAGGGTAAATTCCTGGAAGTGGAATTCCTGGGTCAAATGGTATTTCAATTTTGAGCATTTTGAGGAACCTCCATACTGCTTTTCAAAATGGTTGAACTAAGTTACATTCCCACCAGCAGTGTAGGAGGGTTCCCCTTTATCCACAACCTTGCCAACATTGTTGTTGTTTGTCTTTTGGATGGTGGCAATCCTTACTGGTGTGAGGTGATATCTCATTGTGGTTTTAATTTGCATTTCTCTGATAACTAGCGATGTGGAGCATCTTTTCATGTGTCTGCTGGCCATCTGAATTTCTTCTTTGGAGAACTGTCTGTTGAGCTCCTCTGCCCATTTTTTAATTGGATTATTTGCTTTTTGTTTGTTGAGGTGCATGAGCTCTTTATATATTTTGGATGTCAAGCCTTTATTGGATCTGTCATTTACAAATACAATCTCCCATTCTGTAGGGTACCTTTTTGTTCTATTGATGGTGCCCTTTGCTATTGATGGTGCCTTTTTCAGCTTGATGTAGTCCCACTTGTTCATTTTTGCTTTTGTTTTCCTTTCCCAGGGAGATACGTTCATGAAGAAGTCGCTCATGTTTATGTCCAAGAGATTTTTGCCTATGTTTTTTTCTAAGAGTTTTATGGTTTCATGACTTACATTCAGGTCTTTGATCCATTTTGAATTTACTTTCATGTATGGGGTTAGACAGTGATCCAGTTTCATTCTCTTACATGTAGCTGTCCAGTTTTGCCAGCACCATCTGTTGAAGAGACTGTCATTTCCCCATTGTATTTCTTATTATTTATTTGAAACCTACCGTAATGCTTTTCCTCTCCATAATTGGTCCTACAATGAACAATAATTCATGTTGTTTTCTCTTCATTTAGTTTTTATCAAGGTGACAGTACAGGATGTGTCAATTGTTAATAAGAACACTTTATTTTAAATAATTTCTTCATATCATCTCATACTCCAATAATCAGTTTTCCTTAGTTACCTCAAAAATGTCCTTTACAAGTCATTGCTTTAAATTATACATGGCATTTCCTTGATCTGCATTCCCTTTTAATCTGTAGTAATTACAGTTGACCCTTGAACAACATGGATTTGAATTGTGCAAGTCCACTCATACATAGATTTTTTTCAATAAGTATGTTGGAAAATTTTTTTTGGAGATTTGTGACATTTTGAAGAAACTATTTTCTGTAGCTTTATTATAAGAAAACAGTATATGCTACATATAATATATAAAATATGTGTTAATCAACTTTATGTTATCAGTAAGACTTTGGTCAACAGTAGGCTATTAGTAATTAAATTTTGGGGAAATCAGAAGTTACATGTAGATTTTCCACTGCATGTGGGGGTTGGTGCCTTAGTTCCTGCATGGTTCATGGGTCAACTGTACTTGACACTGACTCATTTGGTTTATGCCACTTCTGCAGAATTAAAGACTTTTAAATGATCATTATAATGATAGACTTTTAAGGTTAAACATAAGTGACTCTTAGTTGCAAAATCAATATCTCGTTTTCTTTTGTTTGAAAAGGCAAATTATCCAAAATAAGAAGTATCTAGTACTTAAGCAAATAATGCTTATTTGGAAGACTGATTGCATTCATGGTGTTACTTTTGTTGTGTTAATAAGTTGAAGCAGTATAAAGACTGTATCATTGTCATCTGGGAAAATCCACATAGCAGTTTCATTGATAATTCACGAAAACTGGCTACATAGAGTAGTAAATGATGTGGTAATTGCAATTAAGGAACTGAATTAAGGCTAGTTTCATTTTGGCAGATAGTAAAGATACAGTATTCTTACTTTAGAGTGGGAGAGCTGTCCAGTTTGTGATGTATTGTGAGATTTACATATGTTGTCATGTCTACTTTTTTCTTGTTTACTATGAAATATAATCATCAGCATTAAGAAATAACAGCAGCTGACAGATTGTAGCCAAGAAAGTTGCATTAAGTAAGTGCATGTCATTATGCATATCCAATACATATGGGAATGGATAAACAAAATGTGGTATATACATAAAACGGAATATTATTGAGCCATAAAAAAGAATAAAGTTCTGATAAATGATGCTACAAGGATGAACCTTGAAGACATTGCTGAGTGAAATAAGCCAGACACAAAGAAGGACATATACTGTATGATTCTGTTTATATGAAATATCTAGAAAGGACAAATTCATAATGACAGAAAAAGTAGATTGGAGATTGCCAGGGGATGGATGGGTGGGGACTTTGGGAAGTTGTTGCTTAAAGGTTATAGAGTTTCTGTTTGGGTTGATGAAAAAAACCTTTGATTGGAAATGGATAGTAGTGATGGTTACATAATAGCATAATAGTGAATGTAATTGATGCCGCTGACTTGTACATTTACAAATGGTTAAAATGGCAAATTTTATGTTATATATAACTTCCCACAATTTTTTAATAGAAAGAAGAAAAAAAACATCCCATAATGACATACGCTTTACCTACTGTTATGACTAAAATATGAAACATGATAGATAATAACAAGTGTTGGCCAGGATTTGGAGAAAGTGATGGGATCATAAAATTGATGCTGGGATTGTAAAGTACTGTTGCCATTTAGGAAAAACAGTTTGGAAGTTCTTCACAATGAGGAAATTACCATATGACTTAGCAGTTCCACTCCTACTAATCATTTCCACCCCATACAAAGTGAAACATGTCCACACAAAACTTGTGAACTAATGCTTACAATCACATTATTCACAGTAGCCAAAAATTACAACAAGCAAATTTCTAGCAACTGATGAGAATATAAACAAAATGTGGCATATGCATGCAGTGGAATATTTTTCAGCCATAATAAAGAATAAAGTCTGAAGAGGGATAAACATTTTATAACATTTTTGTATATATTAAAAACATTTAAAAGGTTTTTAAATTTTTTTAAAAAGCAATGAAGTACTGATTTATGCTGCACTATGGATGAGCTTGGCCAACATGCTAAGTGACACAAAAGGATACATATTGTCCCGTTGTTAGGGTATTTAAGGTATTTAGGAAATACTCAAAGTAGGCAAATCCATAATGTAGAAAGTAGATTAGTTGTTGCTTATGGTTTGGGAGGTGAGAATGAGAAGTGACTGGGTACTGGATTTCTTTCTGGAGTGATGAAAATATTCTGGAATGCAGTTTGTGATGGTTGCATGATTTTATATACTAAAAACTAATAAATTGTACACTTCAAAATAGAAATTTTATGGTATATGAATTATATCTTAGTTCAAAAATATACCAAAACTCATTAATATTGTTTACACTAATTTTATATTGAAGTGATACTTTTGGCTATATAGAGTTAAATAAAATACATTAAATTTAATTTCACCTGTTTCTTTTTACTTCTTAAATGTGGCTACTAGAAAATTTAGAATTAAATGTGTGACTTGCATTGTTTCATTGGACACTGTTGATTTAAAGGTTGTAAAACTGTCCCGTGGTACATCCAAATGACTAATATGAGAAACACAGTAACTTGGGATATTTGTTTTAGACCAAATCACCTGTAATCATATATATGGAGAAAGATAATTTTTTACTACTAACCATAAATTCCTATGGATATATAGTTAGAAAAATACATTCTTTATTTAGATAATCTTCATGTATTTGCTGTGGCAGTATACTAAGCTTTATTGAGGACTTAGAAATTTGCATTGCTAAATACCACTTTAATCTCAACAACTGAAAAATATTCTAATTGCTGGGTAAAGCTAGAGTCATTGTTACTCCTTTCTCTGGTTCATTTTTTCTATCTAGGTGATTCCCTAGATCATACTCAGTCCTCTTTTCCTTTGATGCGTCTCTCTGCCCTCAAAAAACTGAAGAAGAATTACTTTGCAGTTTTAGTTTTTCTCTAATAGGTTTGTTGATTTGTTACGGCACAATAGGTTTCATTGCTTCTGATAAATGGAATAGGATAAGACAGCTTTATTAAAATATAAAGAAACTTCAAATTTTATGTTAAATTTCAAAGGAGGCTCAAGGAGAAAATTCTTTAGAAAGCTGCTAGATTAGTAACAGGTCATCAGGGACATAATAAGGGATGCTCTTTAGGATGTGAGAAGACAGTAATCCCTGGAGGAATTTGTGAAGAGGAGGAAGATTCTGGGTCACTTGGTAAAGTGAAGATCAGTGGAGTAGCAATTCGTACATCTGGGTTATGGTTTTTGAGTGTTCTTCCTTACTGTATGGTCTTGTATAAGTCATTGACCATCAGTCAAGAGTACTATGTTATTCTTCAGGGCTTTCCTCCTTTATGCTTTAGAGTTGGGATGTTTACATACTTGCTAACTAGAATCTGTGTAACAGTCAGCCTCCTCTTAGACAGCATGTCTAAACAGCAGACTTTCCTAAGTTGGACCACTTGTTTTTAAAAGATTCCTTATCCTTATCTAAGATTTTTAAAATCTGGGAAGAACCTGGTATATACTCTGCAAACTGACTGGCCTCAGTTTCCTTATTTATAAAGTCAGGGTTGGATTAGATAATCAGGTGTTCTTCCTAGCTGTAAATATGTTTTCTTCTGAAACAGTGTTGGGAGAGAAATTGGGAGACTGATTCATGTATCTATCTGTAGAAGCCTGATATTACAGTTCATGTGGTAGTAAAGCTTTTTTTTAATTGATGTAACATTTCATAGTCATTCTGGTATTGTAAGGGACTTTTTTCTTAGAATATGCTCAAGTTTGTTGGAATAAACACCTGTATAATAAATATAATCTAAGAAGTAGAGCTCTTTTTATTAATGGATTTTTATATCCTTTCCTTTATAGTGTCCTGCTATAGACTATACTAGACATACACTTGATGGTGCCGCATGTCTTCTGAATAGCAATAAATATTTTCCCAGCAGGTAAACAAAACTATTAAGCATGGGGGTAAACTTTTTGGATTTGATTTATATGGTTGATGTTTTTAAAACTAAGTTGCTGGTTAATTAATACATTGCATTCTTTAGACTTTTCTTGTTTTGTGTTTTAGCTGTTGTGTATTTGGCTTGTTCAAAATTATTCAAGTTTTGAAGTTAGGGTGTGGTTGAACTAAAGGCAGTGGGACTTGGTGTTCAAAGCTCACAGGCCAGTTTTAGTCCCTGCTGCTGTGCATCATTCTCTAGGGCTCTCCCTCTCATGCTTTAGAGCTGGGGTACTTACATGCCTGTTTATGTGATTGTAATAGAGTCAGCTTCCTCTTACCAAGCCTAAAGAGCAGCCTTTCTAAGTGGCCTACTTGTTTTGGAAGGATTCCTTATCCTTGCCTACAGATTTTTTTAAGAACTGGAAAGAAGTTTGTGCATACTGTGTTACTGGTGAGGTTTGTGACTGGCCTTTTATTCTAGTAAGATATTTACACACACACACACACACACACACATGGATAGATTTGGAGATCTGCCCCACCGCCCCTCAAATATCATTAACTCCAAAGAACTTATGTAAAATATGTAAAAAATACTGAGTTTTGCCTCAGTGTCCTATATGCATTAAAAAAAAAAATCAGAAATAAGCAGCAGTTTTTATTTCTCTAAAAAAATCATCAAGTTCTATAGGATAAAATGATAATTCCTTTTAGTAGTTTTAATCATCTCTAGTGAACAAACTATTAATGCCACAAATGTATGTTTTATTAACTTTTGCTTTGACATGGATTTGTTTTAATTTCATTAAATTGTTACAGAGTTTCAAAACTAATAGTGAATTTCTTAGGCGCTGTGGTTAGGTAGAAACATTAGCTCAGGAGTGAAGAGATGAGTTCCTTGGCCTCCTTTGCCACTTACTAGCAGTGTGACTTTAAATTGGTCCCTCGTGAATTGAGAAGATTGGGCTATTGTTCCTAAGATATGCCCAACTCTATTTCTTTTCTGTTTCTAGGGTTAGCATAAAAGAATCATCTGTAGCAAAACTAGGATCAGTATGCCGTAGGATTTACAGAATATTTTCACATGCTTATTTTCATCACCGGCAGATATTTGATGAATATGAAGTAAGTATATTTCAGAAATTACCCTGATGCATTCTTATCAGAATGATGGTAATATATGTTACTATGTCTGTTTTTGGGGGGTTTTGGTTAGTAAATTAAAACATTTTTTTCTTCCTCTCTACAGAATGAAACATTTTTGTGTCATCGGTTTACTAAATTTGTGATGAAATATAACTTGATGTCCAAGGATAACCTGATTGTACCAATTTTAGAAGAGGAAGTTCAGAATTCAGTTTCTGGGGAAAGTGAAGCATGAAGGGAATCAGAAAAAAATGTACTGATCACATAATAACAATTATGTACTGTATATATATCATTTTAGACACATCAATCATGTATCCATATTACAGCTTTTTTGTTTAGTATAGGTTTTTGTATGCTGAGTGTTGCCTTTTAAAATGGGAAATACTTTTTAAGTTATTCATGAGCTGTATATTCACCAGTGTGGCACTCATGTTTTTTAAATAAGATTAGTATTATCTGTTTATAATGCCTGTTAATAAAAGAATTTACAGTTTGGTAAAATTGCTGCTAAACAATCATTGGATTACAATCCTCATCAAATAAACCCATCTATAAAAAGATGAGCAAGCTTGAGGTTTCACACAAGCCATTTACTAAAGAAATAGTAATGTTTTCCTTGGTTTTACCCCTGAGTTTAGGTATTCTAGAAATTCTGTAGTGTATATAGTTCAGGTCTTAACTTTTCAAAAATGACATGTGTTTTAAAATCCTGTTTATAGTTTTGATATGCATATATAATTATATGTATATCCAAATATAAATGCAGATGAAGTATAATACGTAAATAACCTTACTATGCTCCATAAAGTATATTCTAGACCGGCATATGGGGAAAGGATTTACCTTTCTGCAATAGTGAACTGTTATATACAAGATGATGATGATAATAATAAGGTGGGTAAATGATGTGCCCACTGGAAACCTGTCCTGCTTTTCCCTTCTCATTTCCCTTAACTCCCTCTCCAAACTGTAGTGACTGAGCAGCTTTTCACCAGGTTGTGATTTACTAGTGGCTAACACTTATATATATTTGTATTAATGGTTTACAGACTATACCTCATATTAGCAAACATTACACTACAGGAAAAATGTATTGGCATGGGCTCTTGCTTATCATTGTTTTGAAAAATTGTTATACTTGGGAAATAGTCTTTAAAATAGTTTGGCTCTTCCTGTTAGTAATATTAATCTTCTAACCAACTAGGCAGCATTTAAATACAGTTGAAAAATATTGTAGTATTTATTTTATATTCCCTCCCCACAGTTTATGTTTGAATTATATGCACATGTGAGATTTTTTTTTGCAATAACTAACAGGTTCCAATAGTGTTGGTGAAAGGTCATACAGTTTTTGGACTTTGTTATGGTTTAGTGTCTTAAGGATTCAACTGCAGATTTTACAATCTTAAAATCTAGTGAATGCAATTTTTAACAAAGCACTGGAAGTCTTATTGCTAAGCTGGTTTTAATGAAACAATAAGGTTAAAAAAAGTATACATGTAATGAGAAATATTTAAATCCATCTCTTGAATAGAATTAACACATACGAAGCATTTCATTTTCATTTAAAAAGGATTATTTTGAAATGAATATGAAAATGTACATCTTGGTTTTTTCAAATTTGAGGAAATAATTTATACAATATTATGGGAGAACCGTGTACAGCAAAGATGTGGGAAATAATAGCATACTGAGAGTGTGTGTGTGTGTGTGTATATATATATATATATATATATATGCCTTTCTAAGCCTGCCAGTATATTTGGCTTTGAACAGTGCTATTCCAACAGTCATTACTTTAACCCCAGCCCACAATGACCCTTTAAAAAGGTTTATGTTCATAGTGAATGCAATGTTGACTTTGAATTTATGCATATGTATTAATGTCACATACCAATGGGAACAGTAATTTACACATAAACTTGCTAAATATTGAGAGACTAAACTAAGTTAATAAATTATATGTATCAATGTAGCTATTCTCTCTAGCTGGTGTCTCACAATGGATTTTTATTGCTTGACATATTTTCTTAGTGAAATTTGTACTAAGGCAGTGACTGGGATTGGTCATCTGGCTAGGTATTTTGAAACACATTTTGAATAATATGGCTTGCTGTTAATGGGGAAATAAAATCTGATTTATTTCTTACTCATTCCATCTTCCCTGTGCTGTGTGTTTGGAATTGATCATAAAATAATCCCCAAAAGGAACATCAGTTTGCAACCTTGTTTTTTATTCATTTTGACATCCCATTCATACTCTGCGCTGTGAAGTTGATTCAGTGTACTAGATAAGACCTAAAGGAAACAGTTAGCTTTTCTTTAATGCTCTGTACAGAATTTTAAAAATATACATGTATGTACCTAAGTGGTATTAAAAAAAGTAATGAGCCTGATAAACCACTGATTTACAGAGTGAATGTTGTAAGAAAGAGGGAAATAGAAAGCTCACAGTTCTGTGCAGTAAGAAGTAAGGCTCCACTGTTTGGTTGGATTATCCAGTGTCGATCCAAAAGTTAAAATTTCCTTTCCATAAAATAATTTTGATCATATAGTCAACTCCTTTTCTCCCATCATATCTGGGAAAGTAGCAAACTTTTAATAATTGTATTCCTGTAAGTATTATAAGTATCATAGTTCTTTTCTGTGTGTAGAGTTTCTTTTCTCTGACTTTAGATGTTAAATTTGCATTTCTGGGACAGTTCTTCAGTTAAATTCTTAAGGCGTTTAACACTTTTGAACATCGTAATATAATTAAAAATCTGTGATTACATTGTTGTTATCAAGGACTCATTATGATTTTAAACACATTTACTGACTGATGTCAAATTCATTTGTAATAGAACCTAATTATTTTTTCCCTGGGTTTGTCTATATGATGACATCTTTTGCTTGAAGGCTTCCTATAATTTTATTTGCACATTAAATTCTACCCTTTGTATGCTTTATTTTTGAATAGTTCTTGAATGTGCTAAAGGTTTCTTGGTATAGTTCTTCCATGCTATGCAAAATGTTACAGTAAAAGTAATTTTCATTTCTTGAATGTAGCTAATTGTTAACTAAGCAGATATTACAGGTGTGTATTGGCACAGCACGTTTAAGAGTCTATTGAGATGGTCCAAATGTATTTTCTGGAAAAATATGCATTGTTAGTATACACTGTAAACCAGAAAATTACCAAGTGAATCCACTTGAGAGTGGGATTGCTCATCCTAAAAGATGTAATTAGGAGCTTTACTCTTAACATTTGGGGCTGCATGGATATTTTATGTAGTCTGGGAATCTAATTATAGCACTTCAGTTATTTGATTTTTCTGTTAAATTTCTTTTTATAGTACAAAGCTTCATATCAGGTGTGAGAACGTAAGAACTTAAGCAAAGAGAATACTAAATTTTCATAATAACCTACATTTCCAAAAGATAAATATAATTGATATCCTGAACTTAACATCCATGAAGATTAGAATGTCAATTATCTGATACTGATTCTAGGATTAATTATAGCATCAAAATTCAAAATTAATAAGATATTCATTTTTAAACGAAATTTTATCCTGATCTGCATTCCTGAAATAAATATTGGTAAAAGCAGTTTATAATTCCATAAGTAATATATTTACCACTTTATTTTGGGTAGACCTCATGAGAGGCATTTGTGTCTTTTATAACAATTGGAAATCTGTACTTAAACATTATAGTTTGTTACAGATTATAGGAATCTCTCTTTTTATGATAATGCAAAAGGAACCTTTCATACAAAATGGTGTTTAAGTAAAAGAACTTTCAAAGTCTCTAAGTACTTGCTCATTTCAATATTGCTGGTTTTCCTTAGTATCAGTGTCTAGACGAAAATGTTAGTTTATTTTTTAAAAAAGGCTTTATACCTTGTTCTAGAAGTAAAAGGTTAAATCAAGTAGGAATGATAGGATCCTGTCCTCCTATGTTTCCCCCTACCTCCCTCAGAGATAGACTGAGGGGAGTCAGAGGAACAAGGAAACCCCAGAGGTGAGGAAATGACGGGAATGGTCGTCACTATGCCAGTTAGTGAGATACCCATTCACCCACTGCCAGTGATTGAATAGAATCCTTTTGATTTTTGAGGGTGAATCCCTACTTACCTGTGCTAAAAATGTCTCATGTTTTTAAAACCAGGTGTGTATTTATAGCGAGAAATTACTCTTGCCTTGATTTGGGTAATATTTAAACCACTTTTAAGATACTTGATGCTTGTGGTTTTTTAAATATCATTGTATAAAACAAATGCAGATCTTGGATTCTTGTTGTTGAGATACCATGCTTGTGATTTTAGTAGTTTCTGATATCTGCTATAGTCAGTTACCACAACCTTAGTGGCTAAAAACAACACAAATTTATTCTAATAGTTCTTGAGGTCAGAAACTCAAAAGCAGTTTTACTAGAATAAAATAGGTTATTGGTTCTTCCTAGAAACTCCAGGGGAGAATCTGTTCTTGGCCTTTGCTGCTGGTGGCTGCTAACATCCTTTAGCTTGTGGCTGCATCATTCCAGTTTCTACTTCAGTCATCACATTGCCTATCTCCTGTAGTGTGATACCTCTCTCTGTCTCCTTCTTATATGGTCACTTGAGATTACATTACGGGGCCCCTTTAAGTAATCCAGGTTAATGTTCCCATCTCAGGATCTTCAATTACATTGGCCAAGCCCTTATGCCATGTAAAGGAACAATATTTACAAGTTCTGGAGATTGAGAAGTGAACGGTCTAGCATTTATTCAGCGTACCACAGCAGTCCTCTCAAATTCTCATTGTTAATCTCAAAAACTTCTCCATGCTGTGGACTTAACATTTACTCTGATAGTGATACTTTTATTTCCTGCATGTTACCTACTTCTTTATGCCTCCCAGTCATATATCCTTCATTTAAATCTCTGAAAAAGTTGAAATTGAGATCATTTTCTGCAAATTATCATTTACTGCATACCCCTTGTATCAATCCTAGAGCTAAATTCTTGACATGATCTTTTTTTTTTAAGGTATCACTGATATACACTCTTCTGAAGGTTCCACGTGAGTAACAGTGTGTTACTACATTCACCCATACTATCAAGTCCCCCCACTGCCCATCAGGGTAGTAAGATGCCACAAAGTCTTGACATGATCTTTTAGTTGATACATAGTACTGATCATTTTGTCGTTCGGAGACCTTGCTTACCAGTCTGGGAAAGAGTAGGAGAGATGAAAGAGAATATGGAAGAATGTTCTCCCAACCTCTTTATACATCAGGAAACAAAGGTAAAGTGTGAAACTACAGATTCTGGGCCTCCCAACTTTAGAAACTGATGTAATTGATTGGGAGTGGGAGGACCTGAATCTGGGTTTTAAAAGCTTCATTAGTGACTCTTAATGATGTCAGTTTTGGAAACCCTCGGGAAATTTAGAAAATGAGGTAGAAGTTACACTTCTTTCAAACTAGTAAATAGTAATTGTAGCCAGTGTTTTCTGTGGGGAAGACAAATCTGGCAAAAATAACTCACCTTTATGGTAAATTCCCAGGCGAAGGAGTAAGTTTGGGGCATACCAATTCAGGGTTGCAGAGGATGATGAAGGCTCCTTAGCTGATCCTCTGCCTCTTACCAGCTTTCTTGGCAGTTACCTTGTTTTTTAAATGTAAGAGTCTATTTGAGATGTTGAATCTCACAATTTAATGACATTTAAAAGCTTTGTTTTATAATGAGACTATTTGTGAGAGCCTTTAACTGGAATTGAGGACACTTTTGTATTTTTGGTTTGATTTGATTGAGGGAAATCAGGTAAATTCTAATAAGTCTGTGATGTTTTGGTTGCTTACAAAGTGAGAATGCTGCTGCTATTGCAGAATTTCCAAGTGCATCTTTGATGGACATGGGTGAATATAGAGGAGATTGCTTTTCAGCTTTTCTTTTCTGAGGATGTGAGTATGCTCCAAACCAGCTTGTCTGGCATTCTTAGGGCACTTAGGAGGGAAAGTAATTTTTTGCCATCAGGTTTCTGCAGTTTTGGTTAGCATATTCTAGACTGAGGAGCATATTTATCTGTTTGAGGGCAATACAGATACTGAATCCAGCCTTCATGTCACCAGTCTTGAATCACTTGGGTTTGCTTTATTTTGGGAACTGAATCTAAAACGAAATGGCAGCCTCTTAGCATAACTAAAAGGGCTCTGAGTTGAGCCTCCCTCTTGTCCTTTTGTTTTATAGATTTAAGAACAAAACAAAAACCCCATCAGGAAACGAAGGCCACAGAAATTGAATGACTGTTCAGAATTCCCACAGATAGTGCAGAGCTGGGGGCTCAAATCTTTGAACGTTATGGAAGTTAAGGTAAAAGAGAAGAAGAGAAAAGTTCATCTGATGGGGGCTAGGAAGCCAGCAGCCCAGCTCCTATGACTACTCAGTAGTACCAGTACTACATAAGATGCATGATCAGGTAATCTCCATTCTTAAAACAGCCAAGTTAAGTTGCATTTTAGATGGGATTCTCTAGTTGGGTCCTGAAGTGCTTTTTGGGGACTGAATCTAAAACAAGTTGACAGCTTCTTAGCATAACTAAAAGGGCCCTGTTGTGCTAGTATTTAACAAATCCCAAGGAAATTAACGATTGCAGTCATTTTCTAAGTCTCAGAGTAGGTTTGATTTTGAGAGTTGTGTGAAATCTTTTCATCCAATAAAGTATGTGGTATATCAGTGTGTAGTATGCTAAACAGTAGGGATGTTTGGGAGTTTCCAAAACCCCCAGTTTATTTCCAGGGCATATTTTAATCACTGTTGTGATTTTGGCTGATTATAAGCAGCCCCTTCTGCTTACAATTCTAAATTTAAAAATTTTAATAAAAAAATTTATTAAAAATAAATTCTAAATAAAAAAAAGATAAAAATCCCATTTGCCTTTAGCTTTCACTACTAGCTAATTTACAAGTATGCCAAAAGCTTCACAATGTACCCATTCTTCCTCAGGACTTCCTATACAACTGAGACAGGGACCATGGGTGTAGTCAGAGTAGGGTGAGGACCTGTGGTGGGGGGGCAAGGCGGAATATTTACAGTCAGAGCAATGTAACAATGGGCAGAAGTCCCCATTGAAACTCTGTTAAGCATTATGTAAAGTCAAGCTCACACTAATTCTCTAGGGGAAGATACCTAAGAATATAGGCATCTTCAGTGACATCAGTTAAAGGTCAAAAGGCCAGGAGC